TGTGTGCATTTTAGAGGCACGGTTTTTTCTATTTGAAAATAAACCATGTTAACTAAATGAGTTCATTATCAGAGAGTGTGTGATAGTTAATTGGATTAGTTAAACGTAATAGCTATTGATTTTATATACTAAAATTGGAAATTGGGTATTTTACATTGTAAAACAAATAAAATTAATTTGTTTAAGACAGTACCATATGGATTATCCCTAAACCGATAATTCCAATTATCCTAAATATATGGGAGAGAGCCACTTTGGACACTTTTTATATTTTTATTTTCTTAACGAATATTTGTATATCAAATAAATAATTTACCTTAGTTATGTTAGAAATTAATGTTGGACACCAAAAAATAGTTTAAAGAAAGAAGACGATCACTGGGAATTCCCGCACTTTTACAACAACAACAAATTTACAATGCCACTGCTAAAACGTGTTCGTTCAACTACATTCGCCCGACAACTGAAGAAGCAAGCCAAAGTTCTTGGCATTGCTAAAAAACAAGGCTGTCAAATAAAAATTAATTACCATTCGGAAACAATTAAACCCCGGGATTTTATCAACATAAGCTAGTCATGTTCAATCGTGGACCCCTCTTCCCTATACAGTGGTGTGCAGAAGCGAGTGGATGTTTGTACTTTCGACACTTTTTACGACATAAAAAATAGTAAAAAATAATTCAAAAATTGTTTTCATTGGAACAAGTTGAGTTTAAGTGCGCATCTCGGATTTTTTATGAGGGAAGTCCATATTTCCCGAAATATGGAGTTTCGAAAATTAATTTCTTATAACTTCGCCAATTAAAGGCCGATGAAGAAAATATAGATATGGTTCTAAATGCTATCACGTTAAACTCATTTTAGTTAAATAATTTTTCCACATAGACGGTCTTCGGCCCGGGTTTTTTTACAAGATTTTCAATGGGCTGGTAAATCAATACCAATGCTTGTTAAGGTTTGTAACTTTGTACATATATAATTGAAGATTTAAAAAAAAAGAAAAATAATTTACAAACAATTTTTGTTATTGTTTTGTTGTTGTTTTTTGTAATTAAAGAAAAGTCCTTATTTTTGATGGCGGGCATGATAACTCCTCACTGGAACATCGGAATCCGAAAATTCCAACGGAGTACATGTCTGGCTCTCATATGAACTAGGATTATTGACTTCGCTCTAATATTAACAAAATAGTGGACCTTTGAAAAAATATTTTTGGAAAATCGCCGATTTTTTACCAAAAACCAAGTTAAAAAATAAGGAAGATCTTCACCGATTGGCTTTATCCCAGTTTATACGATAGCTATACACTCCCAGAGAAACGTTGCAAAATTTGGAACTGATTGGATTATTAGTTTTTGAGTTATCGTGCCCGCCATTCGCAAAAAAATGTTTAGAGAAAAACGCGTTAAAAGTTTGAGAAGCCCTTCAGCCGTCACTTGATGCTGACACAATAAATCAGATATATCTTCAAGAGTTCTTGAGATTTTCACTTGAAATTTTGTAGGGACATTCTTTAATTAGTGTAGATTCGAATTATATCAACAAAAATTTTGACCCCGAGATTGGAGGGTCCCCTTAAGTTAAAAATGTTTGAAGTACCCGGCCTTCGGCCGTGGATTTAAAGCTTTCTCCTATGGACAGGTGCATATTTCGGCTACGCGATCCCAATTACTTTTTAAAACTATATTATTTTGAAATAGTCGGCCTTCGGCCGCGGATTTACAACTTTCTCCTATTGACAGATGGAAATTTCGGCTGCGCGATCCCAATTCCTTTTTAAATTAAATTTTTTTTCCAAATAAACGGCCTTCGGCCGGGGATTTAAGACGTTCTCCTATGGACAGTTACTAAATTCGGTTACGTCAAAAAAATTATTTTTATATTTTTATTTTTTCAAAAATGATTTTATATAAATTCGATTTTTTTATTTATTTTGAAAAACATATTAATAACAAGAAATTTGCACCACCTTAAAAATATAAATTTCTGTATATAACATTTGAAGAAAACTTTTCTACGGTTATATTCAGAAAGAGACTCCTTAAGATGGCGCCACAAACCCTTTATGGTGTTGGTGTGCTCTGCATTTTCGGGATTCACGAAATATTGGGAATGGTTCACATTGTGATGGATATAACTTTCTTGGTCCAATGTCAAATCTGGCATATGGACAGGTGCGATCTATCAAGGAACAATAAACACTCATGAAAAAATACAACTCTACTTACCTACAAATCCCAGGGTACGGAACCAGTTGTGAGTTATAGGGTAGGGATACGTAGTCGATCGTAAAAGTAGACTTTTTGAATTTTCGACTTTTATCTGACCAAAAAGTCGATTTTTAGGCTTATTGATTTTTGCCTTTGACTAAAAATTCGACTTTTCGATTTTGTCAAAACTGTTCTAAATCGATTTTCGACTTTTACTGACTTATGTAAAATTGATTAAAAATTTGATTTTTTTATATGAATTAATGACAAATTAATGAAAGATAAAGTAAAGTTCTGAAAAATGTAATTTATGGGCAATTTGGGATTTGTGATAAAAAACCAAGTATTTATGAAGAAAATCGATTTTTTCATAGATCAAAAGTCGACTTTAAGACTTTTCGATACAAAAAGTCGATTAGTCGAAAGTCGATTTACTTATCCCTATTATAGGGTGTTAAAATGGAAGTGAACGAAGAGAAAATTCGGTACATTTTACAGTTTTTCTTTGACAGAAAATACAAGCCAAGTGGCTGAAATTGTGAATGGTGCTATGGTTGGTGTTTATGGCGATACTGTAACAGCCAATTATGTGCAATTTTGGTTTCGTTATTCAGTTCAGGAATTTTTGATATTAAAGATGCATCTCGCACAGGCCTACCTGTGCGAAAATGTCGATAAAATCGGAGAAATGTTCGAGAAATGCCTTTAAAATGGCAACAAATAATACAACACAACGGTTCATATTTAGACCAAAACGGACATTTCGAAGCATGTTAGATAAAGTCCGATAGTTCCTATAAAAATAATGGATTTCTTTTTCCCCAACCTTATATATAATAACTAAATATATATATAAACGCAGTGATATATTGTGAATAGATGTGTGCACCTGTGCTATAATACGCATATTAAAATTCTCAAAATATTTCTTCCAAACTTAGTTTAAGTTCCTTCTGGTACCTCCCCCACAAAATGGCCAACTTTGTGCGAAACTTTGTACAACTTATTATCTTTACAAAGCCTAGATGAAGTAGGAAGATGGGCCACATTGGTCCACTCATTATGGTATCTCGCCCCACAGACATATCAATATTTATGAATCCATTTTCAATATTTATGAATCCAATATCAGACTAATGGAATGCCCGATTTGCACAACTTATTATCTGAACCAAAAGTAGATTAAGTTTACCCAGTGGTTCACTAATTTTGGTCCTCCGCCACAAAGGGGCCAAATTGTCAATATTTATAAATCCAATATTAGACGAAAGGAATGTCCCATTTTCACCAAACTGTGCACAACCTGTTATCTTTACCAAGTCTAGATCAAGTCAGAAGACGGGACCATTTGTCAACTCCTTCTGATACCTCCCACAGAAATGGTCAACATTTTCAATATTTATATAAATATTAGAGAATCGCTCTCTGTCAATCCTTTTATCTCTGATACAACAGTCATCAACATAAGACCTTTGGAAAACCATATATACAAATTTGCCTGATGGCCCGCTCAACCGAAGGCGAAACATGGTGGATACGCGGGGTTTCCTTTTCACTGCAAACCTTCGATCATTAAGCTCGACTCGAAAGAGAATAATATTTTCTCTAATGTTGCATAATTAGTCCAAGCTCTATATAAGAAATAAAAAGAAATTAACAGAAACTATTTTTCCATATTTGCAAATATAAATACATATTTTGATTTGTTTTCTGCATGAGTTAGTCATGCGCTCAACGTATTTGGAGGCATAACCGACACACATTTCAAATCTACAAAAATGCGTTGCAACTAAAAACACAACTGAGTCACTTATTGGGAAAATCAAACTGCATTGGTGTAAAACCCCATTCGATTACCTAACAACATCTAAACATTTGTATGGCACTATATACTCGTGTTTGGGTTATATTTCATGCATACTTGTCTTATGAATCAATTTCTCAATATTTCGAATAGTTTGGCAATTTGAAGATTTTTGTTGGGAATTTTCTAGAAAAAATTGCAAAATAAAAAAATATAGTGTTGAAAAAGTTGAATGTAATATTGGAAATTTCTAGAGAGTAATATTGGTAATGAAAACAAAATATTACTATCCGATTTCTGTTTGTTTCGATTTTCAAAGAAATATATTTTGTATTTTTTAATAATTTATTTCAAAACCTACGGGAATTTAAACGGAAATTTATCTATTCGTCTATTTTTAAATATTTGTTATTTTACCAATTTTATCCAGTTTTTGAGAGGGGAAACACATACCTACCTTTTCTTGAAAATTGAAACAAATTTTGAATTTTTCTTTTCTTGCCTAATTTATTTATTTAAAAATAAAAAATAACAAAAACAATTATATAATACTTAAGCTACAATGTCAACATGAGTATTTTTTATAAGGATATAATTTATATATATAGTTTTTGGCTTACTCTATTGGGGACTATGCCGAATGGGGATGATCTCACCCCACATCTTCTAAGAGCCTAGTCCCATCACGTCAAATGGTTAGAGTTGTTTTATACAGTCTTCCTCAATATGGATTTTTCTCGTTTGTTGCTCCTCCTCCTCCTTCATGTTCTCCTCTTAGTGATCCGTCCAGCTCAACGGTGCGTGCTTTGTTTCTATTCTGTTTGCATTTTACATTGGTTTGTTGGTGTTGTTGTTGTCGTTTTTGCAAAGAGTTCTTTGAATATTGGTTTTCACTTGTAATCGCGTTCTGTGCTTTGAAACTTTAATAGTGTGCTGAAGGTTGAAGTTTTACTATTACAGATGACTTTGTTGTTCGATTGTTTAACGCCACATATCGGATTTATTTCTTGTGGTAATGGTGACCATGGTATTCTTCATGACCATGATGTTCATGCTTCTCAAAGATGGGTGCTTCTACATGGTATTTTTCGGGTACGGGAATTTCCTTGTGCACAGGCACCTTAACTTCCTTGTAGACGGGGAATGGCTTTTCAATGGGTACCTTAACTTCATAGGGTACTGGTTTCTCTACCTTGTAGGGCACCTTCTTTTCAACAACATAAGGTTGGGGAACGGGTACCTTAACATGTACGGGGTAGGGTTTTTCCACCTCAACCTTGTATGGTTTGTCTACTGGTACTTTAACTTCATATGGCACCTTTTTCTCCACAACAACCTTATATGGTTTTTCAACTTCCACTGGATAGGGTTTGGGCACCTCAACGGGGTAGGGCTTCTCTACGGGTACCTTAACTTCATAGGGCACCTTCTTGATGACTTCATAGGGTTTGGGTACGGGTACTTCAACCTTAACTTCATAGGGTACCTTTTTGATGACTTCGTAGGGTTGTGGTACGGGCACTTTCACTTCATAGGGGATTTTCTTGACAACTTCGTAGGGTTGTGGCACTGGTACCTTTACCTCATAAGGCTTATCGACAGGGTATTTAACTTCATAGGGCACCTTCTTTTCAACGGTATAGGGTACTGGTTTGTGTACTGGGACCTTAACGTATTCCTTAACATGTACTGGAACCTTCTTTTCCACAATATAGGGTTCTGGTACCGGAACCTTCACCTCATAGGGTACCTTCTTTTCCACCGTATAAGGAATGTGCTTAACCACGGTATATGGTACGGGAACTTTCTTTTCAATTGTTATCGTCTTGATGTGCTCATGATGGCCATGATCACCGAAATGTAATCCACGCTTTTCAATTGTTTTATCATCTTTACTATCACTTGCTGCTTTTTCTTCGGCACAGCTTACCAAAGCCAAGCACAAGGCGAGACAAGGAAACACAAACTGAAAAAAATAAAGGAAACAAAGGAGGAAATTATTATTGATAGGTCCATACATTCCAGCCACAAAAACTTTCACTTCCTAGTTTTCACATAAATTTCCTTCAATCGTTTGTTTCTATGGGTGAGCGTGTGTTTTTGGTTAAACCAAACCACTCGACACACTTCCGTTTATGGTGGTGTGGTATAGCTGATCACCAACTTACCAAGCGCATTGTTGAGCTGTTGAGAGGAAACTATGACACTAAACTATCGCTTTGCTTTCAACGAGATCCGAATTGAGACTGATATCGACATTATGCAGTTTGATGTCTTTTATAGCAGCTGGTGGTTTTGCACTGCCGCTGCTACCGTCGCTCAACATTTGCCACTTGCTGCTGCAGTGCAAGCCATTCATACTTGACCAACAGCTAGGTGCTAAAACAAACAAACCAACGAACGGAGAGGCGGGCGGGCGTACAGACGTACAGTACGCTAACGACGTAACATAAAATGTGTAACAAGTCTTACTTCGTAATATCTTCATTGCAGCACTTACCACAAACACACACTCATATGTGTGTGACCGAATTGTAATGTATTTCTGTTATGAAGTTAGGTTAAATTCAAATCACAACGTTCAAATCCACTTCCTGGCATTGTTATAATTTCAAACAATAGGAGGAAATATATATATATATTTTTTTTTTTTGCAAAGGTTTAAACATAATCATCCAGATGTGAGAGTAATAAAAACCACGGTATGTGTGGTGAAGCCGAATATTTCAAACACTGCGACAAAAGAGTAAGATCTAAAATATTCAAGATAAGGATTTTGAACGTTATTATCTTGATATTATTTTGCACAAAATTAGAACAACTATAGGATATAAATTGAAAAAAAGAAAATAAATAAATAGAACAAGTAAAAATGTGGTTATGCTCGACCGGGGTAGCCATTTAAAATAAAAAAAGCGATTTTCCAAAACATAAATTTCCTAGATCCACCATTTCAATGGCCCTAGTTCATACGAAAGTTCATATGTAGTTTTTATACCCTTCAACACACTGTGGTACAGGGTATTATATCTTTGTGCATATGTTTGTAACAGGCATAGAATCACTTTTTAAGTCGATTTATGCATGTCCGTCCGCCTGTCTGTCCATGTTAAAAAGTACATGTCGCATTTATTATCCGATTTGGATGAAATTTGGCACAGCTCACTTAATTGGCCCAAGGACGAACCCTATTGAAATTGGGAAAAATCGGTTCAGATTTAGATATATATATCTAAATCTATATATATATATATATATATATCTAAATCATGTATATCTAAATCATATATATTTTTATCCGATTTAAGGTAAATGGGGTACCAAAGTCCTTATATATGTTTCGATTTGCACGAAATTTGGCATAGCGTACTGAATTAAGTCTAGAATGATGTGTGCTAAGTTTCGTGAAAATCGGTTCAGATTTAGATGTACCTCCCATATATATTTTAGTCAGATTTAATGTAAGTGGAGTACCAAGGTTCCTATATATCTTTCGATTTGCACGAAATTTGGCATATCGTAATGAATTAGGTCTAGAATGATGTGTGTTAAGTTTCCTGAAAATCGGTCCAGATTTAGATATAGCTCCCATATATAATTTCGTCCGATTTAATGTAAATGTTGCACCAAAGTCCCTATATATCTTTAGATTTGCACGAAATTTGGTATAGCGTAATGAATTAGGTCTAGAATTGTGTGTGTTAAGTTTTGTGAATATCGGTTCAGATTTAGATATAGCTCCTATATATGTTTTCTTCCGAGTGAATGTAAATTGCGCACTAAAGACCCATAGTTTGTCTGATTGCCACACAATTTGGTACAATGAACAGTAGTTAACATAAGTTAATCTCTGACATGTCTCATTGAAATCGGTTCAGATTTTGATATAGCTTCTACAAGCATACTTTCGTTCGATTTTACACATAATTGACACCAAATGTTGCACTACGTACTGAAGTTACTATAGCATAACTTGTGGCAAGTTTATTTGAAATCAGTTTAGATAGCTCCTATATATTGTTTCGTCAGATTTTAAGTAAAAGGCGCACCAAAGACCCAAAAGTTGGTCCGTTTGCTACAAACTGTACTGAATTTAGTATAGCGTACCGTGTGCTAAGTATAATAAGAATCGGTTCAGATTTAGATATAGCACCCATATATAGTTTCGTCCAATTTTAAATAAATAGTTCACAAAAGACCCAATGGTAGACCGATTGACACAAAATTGTGCACAACGTACTGAAGTTAATATAACCTAGTGTGTGGAAAGTTTTGAAATCGGTTCAGATTTGGATAGAGCTCCCATATATATTTTCCTCCTATTTTAAGTACATAATGCATTTAACTGAACCTGTGACAAGTTTCAATGAAATCGGTTTAGATTTCGATATATATATATATGGATCCATTTTCATGTTAATGGTCCTTCAAAAATTCGGCGTCTGTTATGATGAAGGGTATCATATAGTCGGCCCCATCCGACTTTACTACTTTCCTTACGGGTTTTAAGTTGAATTATAAGGAGGAGTAAAAACGACAGCAAAATCTTAATAATACTCCGTGTTGTTTTGGCGTTCCGCATAAAAAATGCCAAAATACACAATTTACTTGAGATAATTAAAATATATTTAAATTACTTTTGACCTTCCGAAATTATTTGCTAATAAAATAGTACTTTACTGTTAACGGTAATTAAAGTAAAAGGGCAAAAATGTTTAAATTAGCTCAAATTAAACTAAAATTGGATTGATGGGAATTTCAATAATAATATGTGAATTAAGGTCAGTTTGTCGATATGCATTATTATACGTATTCAGTTGCGATGAAGTTGGACATAAGTTTCCATTAATGGAGGCATATTTATGATATTCAATCCTTTTGAAAGCATGCATTAAAATACCAAAAATAAATTAACATAATATTTATTACTGAATATGAAATTGATAGGTATTTATACCCTTCACCACACTGTCGTACAGGGTATTATGTCTTTGTGTTTGTAACAGGCAAAAGGAAACGAGATAGACACATGGTTCCTATTGAGAATATGCATAGAATCACTTTCTAAGTCGATTTATGTCCGTCCGTCTGTCTGCCCATGTTAAATTGTAAACAAAGTAAAGGTCGCATTTATTATCGGAATTGGATGAAAATTGGCCCAAGGACGAACCCTATTGAAATTGGGAAAAATCGGTTCAGATTTACATATAGCTCCCATATATATTTTCGTCCGATTTAATATAAATGGTGTACAAAAGTCCCTATACATCTTTCGATTTGCACGAAATTTGGCATAACGTAATTAATTAGGTCTAGAATGATTTGTGTTAAGTTTTCTGAAATCGGTCCAGATTTAGATATAGTTCCTATATATATCTTCGTCCGATTTAATGTAAATGGTGTACCAAAGTCCCTATATATCTTTCGATTTGCACGAAATTTGGCTAAGCTTCTTTGTGTTAAGCTTCCTGAAAATCGGTTCAGATTTAGATATAGCTCCCATATATATTTTCGTCCGATTTTATGTAAATGGTGTACCAACGTCCCTATATATCTTTCGTTTTGCACGAAATTTGGCACAGCGTACTGAATAAGGTCTAGAAAGACGTGTGTTAAGTTTCGTGAAAATCAGTTCAGATTTAGATATAGCTCCCATATATATTTTCGTCCGATTTAATGTATTTAATAAAATAGTGCAATGAATCAGGTCTAGAATGATGTGTGTTAAGATTCCTAAAAATCGGTTCAGATTTAGATATAGCTCCTAAATATGTTTTTCCTATTTTATGTAAATTGTGTACTTAAGACCCAAAGTTTGTCCGATTGTCACACAATTTTGTACAATGAACTGTAGTTAATATAAGTAAATGTCTGGCAAGTCTCATTGAAATCGGTTCAGATTTTGATATAGCTTCTTTACTTTCCTTACTGGTTTTAATTTGAAACACATCGAGATATTCACCGAAGACACCATAATGTATGTATATTCGTGATCAAAATACAATTCTATGTCGATGTAGTCATGTTGTCTGTCTGCAGAAACCACGATAGAGCTTACAATATTTAAGATTGAGCTTTGCAACTTTGCACATATATTCAATACGCATAAGATGTTTTGTATTGAAACTGGTACCGCTTCATTTTGGATATTTTGAATTTGTCTGTTCAAAACGAAGTGCTAAAATTTGGCACTGCAAACTCTTAGACGGTAAAAAACCCGTTTCCTCAAAAGTCCTCCTTTTTCATATATTTGTATTAAAAATCAGTATTTCGAACAAAATAAGAAATTTAAAAAAATTAAGTTTCGAACATAATATTAACACCAATATATTATAAATTTCTGTCAGAAGACTACTTTTTTACCCTTCACCATCCGTCATTCGGTTTGCAACACATCGAAACCACATCCGGAGGCCCTATGAAGTATATATATATATATTCCTGATGAATACTATTATATGCCGATTTATGCGTGTCCGTATGTATGTCCGTGCCTCTGTTGAAATAACGATAGAGATCGCAATATTTAAGATAGATTACAAATGCGGTATATAGGTCCACTTTTTTATTGTTCCCATATAACTGTACCCACAAATATTCGGTATTATGGGGTTTATTCCATGTTGTTCAACCGAAATGGCTGTAATTTGCTACGTTTGTTTTTCGTTGGGTATCAAATCTTTCTACTTTAAATAATCAATATTGGTACATATAACGGTACCACCGATTATTCGGTATTTTGGGATTTTAGACACGTTTTCAACAGAATCAGCTGTAAATTGATATTATGGATTCACATCGGCTATTAAATCTGCCCACGATTGGTGGCTACCGTTATCTCAAAAATTCTGTTAACTCGGTCATCAATGGTTCTTAATGAACCGCATTGAAATAGGTATAGATTGATCGCGCGTTAAAGGCATATGGGCTTTTCGGAAATTATTCGCGTTGTACGAGTTTTTGGGTACTTCCATGCAACATGTAGTACATCTTATACGTCAAGTGGAATTTCGCAAAATATACATGGATTGGAAGATAAACTTCAGTACTTCCTGGAAACCACATGCGCATCAAATGAGTTTGAGGATTACGCGATTTAGACTCAATTTAAAATTTATATTTCATTATATATTTTTATTTTAAGATTTATTTCTATTTACATAATCCCATGATTTATCGGAAGTGTCTTGCTATAATCAGCAAAAATAAATATGATGACATTATTTCTTTGAACAAAAAATCGATAATTTTCCTCAATATCTTGTTTTGTTGTCGCTGTATTTTACAAACCGCTACACAGAGTTGTGTATTCATATTGTCTTGCATATCCAGTTTATGATCTTTGGTTTGAAACCATATTTAGGGTCTAGGGTATTCTAAAGTAAGACCAGCATATATGTGGACCTTGTTGATTTGTTGTTGTATGTGGTCTTTCTATTTATGATTCTGCTCTAAGGTGACTCACATTGCTTTGGAAGATGGTTTCTTCACGTTAGGGCCCCTCGGTCTCGCCCAATTAAATACGATACTTCCATTAAGAAGTATGTAAATTTTCTTGTCAAAGGTACCCTCAATATGGAGTACTACATCGTGCAAAGCAGTATATACTGATTTCTTCTTTACCATGCTGTCAATTTTCCGTGCCATTGTTTTAAGTACCATTTAAATAACATTTCAGTGTTTCGGACATGGGTATAAAGACTAGACTCGTTTCCTACCAGACTTTCTGAATATGAGTACGGCTAAGTAAATCATGTCGGAAAACAAAATATATCGGTTTACTCATTCTAGTAGTATCGATATGTTATAGGCCAAACAAATTATTAATATCTTCACATTATAGTGGATTAGGACACCTCTGGTACCAAGATAATTTCTGTCAAAATATTTGAAATATGTCTATCTTTAGGTTACGCAATTTTTGCTGTGAATATACATATATGTGTGTATGTGTGCTGTAATTCAAAACAAAATGATGGAGGCTTACCATGCGCACTGTTTCAAAAAAACTAGGTATTGCTGCAACTAAAATTTCCTTATCAGGACAACCTATTCTGGTTATTTTTAGTTGTTATTTTCAATTCTAGAAATGATAACTGAAAATTATCCTTCAATATATCCCTACTTTGCATATAACAAAGATAAAATAATAATAAAAAAACACACATAGTTTTTCATTTGAGAGTTCATTTCATTTCTAACTAATATGTATTTATATTTAGATAGAAGGAAATATACATACATATATTTTTTGTATGTATTATTATATGTATATCGCTTAAGCTACAATGTCAACATGAGTATTAAATAAGGAAAACAAAATCAAAATAATACATTTGGCTTAATCTAAGTTTAGTTAGTGGCGGAGTTATGCAGGCAGTCAGCCAGCCAATTTGCTGGAACTGCTGCATAGACGTCCGTCCAATCACTAGTGTCTAGTGTTCCATGGTGTTGTTGTTGTTGGTGGGAACTATTTTTCACAGTCTTCTCAATATGGATTGTCTCGTAATATGCTCCTTCGTCGTTTCTTCTTCTTCTCTTCCTTCTCCTCCTCCAATGTCCGTCCAGCTCAACTTTGCGTGCTTGATTTATATTTGCATCTTGGATGTTGAAAGTCGTTGCAAACAATTTAGTGTCGTTTTTCGCTTGTAATCGCTTTCTGTGCTATGGAAAATTTTGTGGCGGTTTTGCTGTTGTTGTTGGAATTAGTTGTTTACGAAATTAGGTTATTGTTGCTGTTGGTTTTTTGTTGTTGTTTAAGTCTTAACGCTATAAAGCCGTTATGAAAGTACATCAATTTATCCTTAGTGATGAGAGTAGTGGGAGTAGTGTCCACCATGTTCGTGCTTCTCGAAAACGGGCACTTCGACATGGTATTTCTCGGGTATGGGAATTTCCTTGTGCAGAGGAACCTTGACCTCAGAATAGACGGGATATGGTTTCTCAATGGGAACCTTAACTTCATAGGGCACTGGTTTCTCTACAGTATAGTGGACCTTCTTTTCAACGGTGTAGGGTTGGGGAACAGGTACCTTGACATGTACGGGATATGGTTTCTCAACCTCCACCTTGTATGGCTTGTCTACGGGTACTTTGACTTCGTATGGCACCTTTTTCTCCACAATGACTTCATAGGGTTTCTCAACCTCAACGGGGTAGGGTTTGGGTACTTCGACGGGATAGGGTTTCTCTACGGGTACCTTCACTTCATAGGGTACTTTCTTGATGACTTCATAGGGTTTGGGTACGGGTACTTCAACCTTAACCTCATAGGGTACTTTCTTGATGACTTCGTAGGGTTGTGGTACGGGAACCTTTACTTCATAGGGTACTTTCTTGATGACTTCGTAGGGTTGTGGCACATGAACCTTAACCTCATAAGGCTTGTCGACAGGGTACTTCACTTCATAGGGTACCTTCTTTTCGACGGTATAGGGTACAGGTTTGTGTACTGGAACCTTAACGTATTCCTTAACGTGAACGGGTACCTTCTTCTCCACAATATAGGGTTCTGGTACAGGGACCTTTACTTCATAGGGCACCTTCTTTTCCACAGTGTAAGGAATGTGTTTGACAACGGTGTAGGGTACAGGAACCTTCTTTTCGATGGTAACCGTCTTAATGTGTTCATGATGGTGACCATATTGATGGCCACCGTAATCACCCAAATATAGACCACGCTTTTCTACGACTTTTTCGTCTTTGCTTTCTTTGGCAGCGGCAGAGGCAACTTCTTCAGCACAGCTGACCATTGCCACGCACAAGGCGAGACAAGGAAAAACAAACTGAAATTAAATGGGAAAAAAAACAAAAGCAAATTAGTAAATGATTTACAAAGTCACAATTTTTGTTGTTGTTGTTATTGTATTTTGTTATTGCATAACATGTAACCACTCTTGGGAAAACCACACAAGCGAATTACGAAAATTGTCTTGCAAAAGCAGCTTGAATTTCATGCTTTATAATTTTCCGGATTGTGTTGTGCAATCCGATATCGATGTTTCTCAACATCCAATTGTTGGTGGGTGATTCCATGTGAACGCTGTGTGTATGTATCTTTGTGTGTGTTGTAATCCAAAAACATAGTGATGGAGCCTAGCTTACCATGCGCATTGTTGAGCTGTTGGAGAGAAACTATTACACTAAACTATTGCTTCGTTTTAAACGAGATCCGTATTGATACTGATTCATACGACTTGCAACGACGGCCTTTTATATCACTTGGCAGCCGTTCAACATTCACCATTGTGTACAACGTAAAAGAAACACCAAAACAAAAAGAAAAAAAAAAACGCTGAAGACTGGCAATCACAAAGCGCAGTGCTGCCCGCCATAGCCACCATTCAACACATTAATCTAGGCTAGCTGTTAGTTAGTAAGCCAAAAACAAAACAGCCATTTAGCCGGTTAGTCAGTCATCTAGCCAGATAGTCAACCAATGTAGCCACTCAGCTTGAAACTTGAAAATGTAACAATCTAAACGTCGCGTCGTCGTAATGCTGTAATTATATTTAGTCATCCATATAGCAGTTGTGTGTGTGTGTCTGTCTGCCTGAGTGTATATTGCCATTTACATACACATATGCATATGAGGCAATGGCTTTGTAAAGAAGTCTTCCCCGGGAAGACACGTAAGTGACTTTCATGTAATGGTACCAACAAATAAATAAAAATATTATTACAAAATGGTACTTTATACCACCATTATGGCACAGTGGATAAGTGACAATTAAAATTAGAGTTCATAAAATATTAGAATTTATTAAAGTCCAAATTTATTTATATTGTACCCTACACAAATATATTTTGAGAGTTTGGAGAGTTTGGGAATATCCACATGAAGAGGAACCTTGACCTCATAATAAATGGGATATGTTTTCTCAATGGAAACCTTAACTTCATAAGGTACTATTTTATCTACGGTATAGCTAAACTTATTTTCAACGGTGCACTATGGGCCAGAGGTCCCATTTTTGGCACAAATTTGAGCTGTGGGTTTATGAAATAAATATATATCACACACAAGATTCTTCAAGAAAAACAACAGTTTAATTAATCAAATTATTTTTGAACACTTTTTGTAGAGCTTTGACCACTAATTACAAATGTGGAATCAGATTTTGAAAATCAAACAAATTGTGGATCAACCATAACAAAAAACTAAATATTTATTTCCTTGGCAATATTTAACATCAGAATAGCATAAAATCATATTTTTTATGTATAATGATGTTAAAATTATGACATAATAAAGCCAATTTCGTTGAAAGCCATGCTCAAAATCCCCAAAGTACCAAATAATAGCAGCCTCTTTTATGAGGGGCCTACCCCGAAACCTAAGGCAATATTGATAATTTTTGGTACGAATATTTCACACCCAATGAGAATTTAAAATACTAAATTACAGCCAATTTGGTTTAAAACGCGATCAAAATCTAAAAAAAAACATTAAGGGGATACCGTTATAAGGGGGTTACCCCCTATTGGAGGAAAATTGATAATTTTTGGTTAGAATATGCGAACTAAAAATACAAAATTACATATATTTAGTTGAAGGTGAGACTCATATCTTCAATTTCTATCACGGAATTGGGCCAAAGAATAAGCATACCTGTTTTGATAAAGATCGGCCAATATATAGCGGACCAAATGGACCCTGACTTTTGTTGGACAAATTACAAAATTTGTATCCTATAGCATATATATTTACTCCTGAAGGACATAGACTCGAGATGTTGATAGAATATCAAAAAGGAGTGGTTGGACTTTAAATTAATACCAATTGTCGGATGTGGAAGTTACACTTAAATATTTACAGGTGCTTACGTATTCAGATATTATTTAGTAACCCATTACCACACTGGAGGACGTAAATATATCGCTGATCGCTTTGAAATGAGGTCCAGTTATGGTGAAGGACAACGTCTATAATTTTCGGTGATGATCAGATAATTTTGGACCGAAAACTTATTTGTATGTTTTTTATACCCTACACAACTATGTTGTCAGGGTATTATAGCTTTGTGCAGCCCCAAATGTTTGTAACGTCGCGAAATATTGGTCCTAGACCCACCTTTAAGTATATCGATAGTCATATCTCGACTAGCTGAGTCGATCTAGACATGTGTGTCCGTCCGTCCGTCTGTCCATTATAATTTGTAAACACGATACAGGCCACAGTTATGGACCAATCTTCACGAAATTTTGCATGTAGGATGGGTTCTGGCCAATTGTTTTTGGAAAAGATCGGTTAATATTTAGGGGATGAAATGGACCAAAAACATTATTTTTGTCGGTTATTCTGGTCGCTCCAGAGGCCGCAATTATGGCCCAAACACCGCGAATTTTTGCATGGAGAAGGGGATCGGGCCAGAGAATAAGCATGCATGTTTTGATAAAGATCGGTCTATATTTAGGCGGTCAAATGGACCCTGACTTTTGTGTGAAAAATGACAAAATTTGTATTCTATGGCATATATATTTACTCCTGGAGTATGTAGACCCAAGGAGTTGATAGCATATCCAAGATGAGTGGTTGGCCTTTAAATTCATACCAAATATAGTGATGTACCTACTCAGATGTGGGAGTTACATCAAATATTTTCAGGTGCTTACGTTTTCAGATATTATTTAGTAACCCATTACTACATTAGAGGGGAAATATCGCGCTGATGGCTTTAAAATTTTTCATGAAGTTCCAGTTATGGTCAGGAACAACGCCTACAATATTCGGTGATGATCAGATTAAAATTTTGGGATGAAATGGACCGAAAACTTAATTTGTGTGTTTTCGAGTCGAGTATAATCCGAAAATCACAAAACAACCCACCTTGAAGGTAATCTGGACAAGTAATTAGAAGGACTGTACTGAATATTCGAAAAAGTAAGGAAGAGAAGTTGTTGACCTCTAAACGGGCATAAGGGGGCAAATATCACGAAATACTCGGACTCGGAATAAACATCCTCAGAAAGTTAGAGTTCGTGGTAGTTGTGTAGGGTATCGTATGATCGGCCCCCTATACTGCTCCGCTCACTGGTTTTTTTTTTGAGTCGATCTATATGCCACAATTATAAGACGAACACAACCCACTGTGAAGGGAATATGGACAAGTAATTCGAATTCAGTACAGTCCGACTATTAGTAATATTCGGAAAATATGTTCGTGTTAGGAAGATGATGACTTCTAATCGGGCAAGAGGGTGCAACTATCACGAAATATTGCCCAGGCTCGAAATAAAAATCCGCAGGAAGTTAGTGTTCCGCGGTAATCATACCACACTGTGGTACAGGGTATTATGACTTTGTGCATATGTTTGTAACAGGCAAAAGGAAACGAGATAGATACATGGTACCTTTTGAGAATATGCATAGAATCACTTTCTGAGTTGATTTATGCATGCCGTCCGTCTGTTGATGTTAAATTGTAAACAAAGTACAGGTCGCATTTATGATCCGATTTAAATGAAATTTGGCACAAGTCCCTTATTTGGCCCAAGGACGAACCCTATTGAAATTGGGAAAAATCGGTTCAGATTTAGATATAGCTCCCATATATATTTTCGTCCGATTTAAGGTAAATAGGGCACCAAAGTCCCTCTATATCGTTCGATTTGCACAAAACTTGGCACAGAGTACTGAATCAGGTGCAGAATGATGTGTGCCAAGTTTCGAGAAAATCGGCTTAGATTTAGATATAGCTCCCATATATAGTTTCGTCCGATTTAAAGTAAATGGTGCACCAAAGTCCCTATATATTATTCGATTTGCACGCAATTAGGCATAGAGTACTGAATTAGGTCCAGAATGATATGTTCAAAGTTTCGTGAAAATCGGTCCAGATTTAGATATAGCTTCCATATGTATTTTCGTCCGATTTAAAGTAAATGGGTCTCCAAAGTCCCTAAATATCTTTCAATTTGCACGAAATTTGGCATAGCGTACTGAATTGAGCCTAGAATGATGTGTGCTAAGTTTTTGTGAAAATCGGTTCAGATTTAGATATAGCTCCCATATATATATAGATATATATATTCGTCCGATTTAAGACAAATTGTGCATCAAAATTCCTATTTATCATTCGATTTGCACCAAAGTCCCTATTTATCACTCGATTTGCAATTTTCACAGCGTACTGAATTAAGTCTAGAACGATATGTGTTAAATTTCGTGAAAATCGGTTTAGATTTAGATATACATCCCATATATATTTTCGTCTGATTTAATGTAAATGGTGTACCAAAGTCCCTATATATCTTTCGATTTTCATGAAATTTGGCATAGCGTAATGAATTAGGTCTAGAATGATGTGTGTTAAGTTTCGTGAAAATATTTTCGTCCGATTTAATGTAAAATGTGTCGTCCGATTTTACACAAAATTGACAAAATTTTAAAATGTGTGTCCAATCGGCACAAAATTTTGTTCAGAAGTTACTATAACATAATGTGTGGCAAGTTCAGTTGAAATCGGTTAAGATTTCAATTGATTTACATAATGTTGTCCCTGGTCCTTTAAAAATTTGACGTCTGTTAGGATTCAATCGTTGGATATACCCAACATGGTGAAGGGTATCATATAGTCGGCCCCGTCCGACTTTACTCTTTCCTTACTGGTTTTTTTATTCTCTCTAAAAAATGTATCCTAATACAAAAGGGGACATGTCAACACATGCCATGTTGTTTTAAATGTTCATTTTTCCAAATACAGTTATTTCCCCAGATAACCGTCAAAATACCGAAAATATGTAGCAGCAAACTCTAAAAAATATTCTGCAAAGTAACCGGAATTTGAAGCTACTACCGCATTACGACCTGTTCGAAATCAAACTAATTAGCCTATAGCTGCTGAAATTACTGAGCCCAATATAGAGTTTAATTGAAAAAACTCTCGAAACTATCGAATAATGGGGGGTATCGTTATTTGGGGACTATCAGATATCGAACATTTTTGGTTATTGTTGTGGTATCCCTATTGCTTTTACACAATAGCCTGCGGTGACAGACGTTGGCCGAGTGAGACTCGAGCCGTTTTGGATCGTAGGCCCCTCTGTCGTGGTAGGGAGATTTGGTTTGGGAATTCAAAGTACCCAATTCGGTTAAGACCCATGTATTGTTATATGGGGCTAAATGCGGACCGCTATAACCCACTTTCAATACTAAACATCCTAAGAGTACTAACATTATAT